AGCACCACCGACCCACCACCGACCCACACCCAAAATTCCCTGTGTCGGACTGAGAGCAAAGGAGAGCTAAACGGCTGGAACATCTGAACTCAGGAGAGGCTGAGCACCGAGGGCCCTTTCTCTCACTGGAAAGTTCTGCCTTAATTCTAGTTTTAAAACATAAAGAGTAGAATCATAGAACCATCAGGGTTGGAGGAGATCTCTGAGATCATTGAGTCCAACCATTAACCTGTCACTGCTGGAACCACTAAACCCTGACCCAGATCCTCCAGTGCCACATCAGACACCTCTGAAACTCCTCCAGGGATGGTGACTGCACCACCTCCCTGGGCAGCCCAAGGGGCATGAGGTGGAGGATGTGCTCAGGGATCACAGAATCACAGTATCATAGAATCATCAAGGTAGGAGGAGACCTCTAGTATCATCAAATCCAATCCTTAACTGTCACTATTGGAACCCCTAAACCAGATCCTCCAGTGCCACATCAGATACCTCTGAAACACCTCCAGGGTTGGTGACTCCACCACCTCCCTGGGCAATGTCCCAGTGCATGAAATAAATAATAAAATAAAACTGGAAAAAAATAAGCTAAAAAATAAACTAAATCAACCAAAATATACTAAATAAACTAAGATCAAAGAGAGAAATGGGTTTACCTCACAGCTTTGCCACTGGTTTGGAATATTTGGTCTGAGCTTCTGCTCACAGACAACCCTTCTCATGTCTTCTATCGAAGGATCGGAAGGCACAACGTCGTAGTAAGGCAGCTGGTATTCCTCAGTGATCCCTAGGGCAGATTTATTGTGTAGGTGACAGAGAATCCGAAGTGCCTGCTCCACAATAAACTCCAGCTGTTTTACAAACAGTGAGACAGAACAGAGGAACTTTTGGGGCCACCTTGAACAACAGCTCTGTGACATCTTCTGCCACCACTTGGCTGTGAGGTGCTGAGGCTCTGGCACAGGGGGCCCAGAGCAGCTGGGGCTGGCTCCTTCCTCGGGGGGGTTCCATTCCGTGGAGCAGCCTGGGCTGGTGGGAGCTGTCCCTGCCCAGGGCAGGGGTGGAATGGGATGAGCGTTAAGGTCCTTTCAACCCAAACCAGTCTGTATGAAAAGTCCCAAACCTCACCTCCAACGGAGCACCTGCGGGCTATCTCCCAGTACACCAGCCCCAGGGAGTAAATGTCTGCACGCTTGAAGGACTCGAAGATGTTCGTGTTCATCGCGTCGTCCAGGATCTCGGGAGCCATGTACCTTGAGAGCACACAAGGTCAGTTTGCTGGGCATGGCTCCTGGAAAAGACCACGGCTGTGCTGCCACGTGCTGGGGCCAGGTGACCTCTGTGGCACCAGAAGTTGTCCCCGAGCAGGCCCAGAGCACATGGAGTGATGACACACAGTGTCCATGCCACACTCCACATGGGGCAGGGAGCTCCATGCCACAGAACAGTTGGCAACCACCTCCCCACCCACCCAGCAGGGACAGAGGACAGGGCCTGCAGCCAACCCCTGGCAGACACCAAGAGTGGAGGGGACACCAGTGACGGAGGGAAGGGCTGGAGGAGCTGTCCCCACGGAGCAGCTGCCTCACCCACCTCCTGGTGCCCACCCTGGGGTTCTGGGGAATGTCGATGGTGTTCAGCACCGAGTCATGTTTCACCGCCAGGCCCAGGTCGGCGATGGCACAGCTCTCGTTCCTCTTCACCAGGATGTTCTTGGATTTCAGGTCCCGGTGCGCGATCGCTGGCTTCCCTGCTCACAGGAAGAGAAACCACCTCCAGATTTGACAACAGCAGTGTGAACTTTAACACAATGAGCAAGGATGCAAACCCAGTTTGATTCAATTGTGTTACTATACCCTATAGAAACATCAAAGCCTATTTTGGCCTGAGTAAAGCTCTGATAAATGCCATCGACTTCAAAAGAAATCATTGAGGGCACTTTGTTTCAATATCTGTATTTCAGGAATGAAACACAAACAGCGAAACTGGAAGTTCACCCTCCAAACTCAGGTAGAAAATTACAGAATCATGGAATGGTTTGGGTTGGAAAAGCCCTGTAAGATCGAGTCCAACTGTTCCCCCAGCACTGCCAAGGCCACCACTGTCCATGTCCCCTAGTGCCACTTCCATATGGCCGTTCAATCCCTCCAGGGATGGTGACTCCACCTCTGCCCTGGGCAGCTGTGCCAGGGCTGGACAGCCCTTTCTGTGATGAAATTTATCCCCTTTAGCACAGCTGCTCCCACAGGCATCCACCTTTGGATGAGGTGCAGACAATGGAAATGGGAAGGTGACAGTTCTGTTCCCTGCATACGCTGCACCAGTCATGCTCACACTGGTCCTTTTGTGCTAACAGTTTGGAAAACACAGAACCACACCACCCATAAACAGTTTTGCAGACAACACTGAAACACCTTAGAAGACTTGCAGGACGAGAGGGAGGGAAGCACTTGCCTTGTGTGCCCACGATCTCCATGTGGAGGTGTGCCAGGCCACTGGCCACCGACAGCGCCAGCCTGACCATGCCCTCCACGGTGACTGTGCCTCTGTTCAGGTAGTCGAACAGGGATCCCTGCTCGTGGTACTCAGAGACAAGCCAGAGCTGAGTCCACGTCCCGTTATCTACCCGGAGGAAGTGAGATTATTAAACATATTAGCTAGGGAAAGCCTTCCCTGTTTTGAGGAGTGCAAACAATTGAGTGTGCCAGTCATCCCACCAGGAAGGAGCTCAGGACAGCCACGTGGGGCCAGGTGGTGTTTCAGGTGGGAGTGGGGTCAGCAGAAGCTATTCTGAGACAGACACTTGGGATTTGGCATCATTTGGGTTGGAAAGCCCTCTAAGATCATAGAATCATTGTACATTAAAGGGTTGGAATGGATGTCCCAGCCCCAAGCCCTGCCCTGGGCAGGGACACCTCCCACCAGAGCAGGTTGCTCAAGGCTCATCCAACCTGGCTGTGAACACTGCCAGGGTTGGGGCAGCCACAGCCTCCCTGGGCAACCTGGGACAGGGTCTCACCAACCTCACAGTAAAGAATTTCTTTCTAATATATAACCTGAACTTCCTCTCTGTCAATTTCCCCCCATCCCTCCTTGTCCTGGCCCTGCAGCTCCTAACACAGATCCCTCTGCAGCTTCCCTAGAGCCCCTTCAGCTCCTGGAAGGTGCTCTGAGGTCTCCACACAACCTTCTCCAGGCAATCATCGAGTCCCACCATTAGACAGCACTGCCAAGGCCACTACGTAGAACCACAGCATTGCTTGGGTTGGCAAAGCCCCCGAGAGGACCAAGCCCAGAGGTGCTGCACACACCTCACCACATACCCTTGTTGTCAGCAGCAATGAAGCCCAAGATGTTCTCGTGCCTCAGCATAACTGTCTGGTAAATCTCAGCCTCCCGAAACCAGGACCGTTCATCTCTGGAGGAGAAGATTTTCACAGCTACATCCTCCCCACACCATTTCCCACGCCAGACCTCACC